GGTATCTAACAGGAATGATTGATGTTGACAAAGATGGAATAAAAATTTTAAATAATCTGGATGTTGTTTAAAAGGCAAGCTGTTGATTTTATCACTCCCCCTTGCCAAGACACACATTGGTGCCTGTTAAATTTGACGTTTTTACTCCGATCGTCAACTGCAGCTTTAAAGCATCTGTAGCATCCCAGGACCAAGTTACAAATCAACTCCAGGAAGGGCTGTGAAACCGTATCTGCCTAGCCCTCTTTTCTTTCCTGAAAGCCTCTCCCTAGGGGCAAGCCAGTAGCTCATCTGCACTGGAGAAGTTAGACCCTAACAATCTTCTTGTGGTTAATGGCAGCCTGTTTGTTTTCTCCACCTCTCTTTCCCCCTTCAGTGGGAACCCAGGGCTGAAAGGTTACAAAACCCAACAGTCCTCTAATCATTGTATTACATAAACTCTGTCTACCGAAGAGGCTCCTCAGCCTCCACCAAATTTCTCATTTGGTGACCACAGTTGAGAGCCAATGGTCTCTGATGATAATTTTTAATAATTATTCATATTAAAGAGGGTTTTCACAAAAAGGGGTAAACTTTTAAAAAGAACTTGGGTCGTGGTTTTTAAAAGAAAGAACATATTTATTTGTTCAGCAATGTTGGTAATATTGATTATTCTCTGTTCTTTCCCTCCCATAGTCCTGATACTCATTTCTTTTCATTTTGCATTTCTCTATATTTTTAATATACTTAGGCTTTGAATGTATAGCACGCAATGAACTGGAGACTTATGTTGACGATCTGGTTATGTATTCCTATGTGTTACAAGGACCACTGATGTACCAATGATTGATGTCCCAAACACCATTCTGAGGCTCTAACAGTGTCTAATGTAAACTGCAAAATATTGACACTTTCTCTTACTTTGAGAATATAATTATTTAATCCCCATGAACCAAGGACATCATTGTGGATTTCCACCTCCACCCCTATCTTCAGCTCACGAAGACCCAGAAGTTCAACACTTTAATGCCTATTTCTGCAGTTAATATTCTGATTTCTAGAATGTGCTTGTCAAACATTACCAGTCTGTTTTCACTTTTCCTTGTAATGTGTGCTTTTTTAAAGACTTCAACTCAACTTTGTTTAGATGAGGAAAGTAGGATATAGGATTCCCCTGGTTATGGGGATGAGCCTGCAACAAGGACGGTTAAAAAGATGGTTTTTTTAAAGAGGAAACTTTAGGCTTGGTATGTTGCAGGGAGGAACCCACATCTGTTCCCTCTGTGGTTAGTGACAGGTATATGTCACTCCTACCAAGGGGTGGCAGGACCTCACATTCGTTTATCTTTCAAACTCCACAGAGGTGAGTTGTAGCTTACCTCACTTTGGAGCTCCTATTGCCACAGCCACTTAATTGCAGTGACAACTATATTATATTCCTCAGCAAATTGTATCACATAGATTTTTACCCAAAAGCCCAAACAACTTCTTTTGCATCATCAGAAATTGAGACCATTGGCTTTTTAAAATTTTTTTATTTTTTCACTCATCATTTATTTACAAATACACATTATAACTTTTATATACACTGCACATTTACATGGTAGAAAAGTACAAAACTATATATTTAAATGAATTTATATTTAACTTGCCATGTTTGAAAATATAAAATTGCATCAGAAAAAAGTATTATGAAAAGCAAGAAACTTGAACTGATAAAGCTTTGATATAACTTTTAGTGACACATTAGTTGAAAAAGAACTAATTTAAAGATACAGCCGAGTAGCTTAAAGGAAACACCTAACAAAAGGGTGAATGTGTAGCCTTCACCTTCCTTTAGTCTCCTGACACCCACACCACTCCATTTCTTTGGATCTGTAACATTTTTAAGGTATATTACTAGAATTCTAACATTGCTATCATCTCCTCTCTCAAAAATGTCTTCATCTTAACAAGAGAGCTGGAGTAGGAGTTTCCTCAAAGATGTGTATCCTCTGTACCTTGTATTTGAGTCAGAGTTATAATGCCTTTTGGTCAGTCAAGGTTCCTTGTAAACAAAACCCGAGGGGATCATGTATGTACAGATCAGGCAGCAGAGAATCCAATAAATAAACATGACAGAAACTGACATGCAAGTTTGTTAAAAGTGGAAAAGAGTCTAACAACAGTGAAATGAAGGGAAACAGATGAGTGAGTGAATCATAAGGAATGGACTTAAATGGTTTACAAGGAAAAAAAAGCTTTTACTTTACAAGCAAGAGACCTCACAATAAATAACAACTGCTCTTCCTTTCACGAATAAATTTCTTCAAAAACAAGGTGTACAGTCAACCAGATATTTTATGTATAAATTATAAAACATGACACAGTATAAATAAATGTCTACAAGTCTCAACTATGGGCCTCATCCAGTAGACCTCACAACGACCGCCTCTCCATGTCCAATGAGTAACAAGGTGGCCTGGGAGAGAGCTTTAGGACAAAGGTCCTTTAATGTATAGTTTTCCCCCCAAATAAATAAGCATACACTTATTTACAGTATGGACAATATATTTTTTCTATTTTTTTCTTTTCTTTTTCCTTTTTCTTTCTTTTTTTCCCTTTTTTTTTTTTTTGCCCAAAGGCTATGCCAACACTGAACACTTGTGGAGGGTTTACCACTCTAGAATAGAAGATATAGGAAAGCTGTAGTCCTGGTCTTCATCTTCCTCCTCTTCCTCGGTATCTTCCGAAATGGCTAGATGGGGGAATACAGGGGAGCTGTTGTTTAAATATGGACAACAACAGCGCAGAAGCAGCTCAGTGTATGTTTTCAAAGCCCTCTGATACAGCCATATTACAGCGTTGCATTTTTATGTGACTTGCAGTGAGATGCTTTTTTTTTTTTTTTGCATCTGCTGTTATGCAATAAGTTTTAAAAAATGTTTTTAAAAACATAATCTATGAAGTCAAAAACTGCAGAAAGTTCTGAAG